TATATATATATATATATATATACACACACATACAGTACATACATATATACGTACACTAAAAAAACAGCAGGATTCATTGAAAAGTACAACTTCCAAAGCGTCTGGGTGTAATATGCTATCAGAGATCACATGGTAGCAACAAATGGTATTTGTTTCTTGTTATTAATCCTCTTTGGCTAAACAATTGTATGTACTGCTCTTTGGAACATTTCATGTATTGTATTACTAATACTACCTTCCTTGGTTTTATCTATTACTTTGTACAGCACCACAGGAGGTGATAGGGGAAGATCAAGATACAATATCAAAGTGAACAGTAATACTGTAGAGCAGGGGTAGCCAAACTCCGGCCCTCCAGCTGTGGTGGAACTACAAATCCCATGAGGCATTGCAAGATTTTTCACAGCCACAGGCATGACTCCTGGAGAGAGATGCATCATGGGATTTGTAGTTTCACCACAGCTGGAGAGCATAACAGCCCTACTGTCTTTTGTGCCCGATTGAACATAAACCAGTGATTTGTTGTAAGCAACTACAATGCAGTTTAAAGTAAGAACTCTGATATGAAAATTTTACATTTAAAAAGTCAAAGTAAAATATCCCATTGTACTTGAAAATCTAAAAATATCTCAAAACAAAATTTGTAAAAATTCGTTTACTGCTTACTGGTGATATGCCATGTAGAGCGCCAGCTAACGATTATTTTCAAAATCGATTAGTTAGCCGATTATTAAGTTCGATTAATCGGTTTCATACCCCCCTCCCGCCCTACAACAAACTGAGCCGGCCGCAATATGATCCAGTGCATTCCAGCCACAATCATGCCGGAACGCACTGAGGATGGTGTGAACGAGGCCTAACTTCAAAATAAAGTATAAACCCTTATAAATTAATAAATTTTGCCAATTTTTGTTTAAAAGTTGGAAAAAAAAAATCATACAGGCAGAATGAATTTTTTACTTTATTACATAACAAAAGCTAAACCCTAAAACAGTCGAAGTAGAAACACATGGAAATGCACAAACAACAACTATGGCTGGTGTTGAAGCCAAGAAAGTGATGTGATGCCTGTAAAATTCAGGTCATTACTAGAGCTATTGTAGAGCAGCTGTGGGGTTGGCACTGATAGATAAGAGACCAGGAATCTCCATTTCTTAAAGATACTTCACATTCTGAGCAGAGCTGTTCCTCTCCATCAACACTCCTCATATGCTTAACAACTACTGCTTGTTCAAGATATTCTCAGGACCTCATAGAAATAGCTAATAAATGGGATTATTGATTAAAACTGGAACCACTTCCCTTCTGTAGTAATACAAAGGCAAACTCCTTCTGAAATTCCATGTGAACCATAACAATACCACAACAAGATCATGCCCATGTAAAACGAGTAAGGCTACATTTCCAACATACAGTGTCTCAAAAGCTAGCACCATCCCAAAATAATATTTCTGTTGTGTTTGATTAATGGCAAACTGAACTTAAATCTGATATATCTGAGATACCTCTCTAGGATGTTGTTGGCTGCATTGTTCATTACAAAGCCAAGCAAAATCAAACATATAACTGGGGTCTCCAGCTGTCAAAAACACCTTTGTTACTGCAGAGACAGCAACAAATGCAGAAACATCTGACAATTTCTTCCAAGAGATATAAAAACTTAGCTATATGCTTGCACATGTGTCCTCTATGCAACAACACTTTCAGACCAGGGACCTATATTGATGGGCGTTGGGCTGGAATCAGTTTGTGATACTTCTACGATTGTTCAGAGTTCAATGACAGATGCATATGAGCTGCAGCTGACCTGCTTCAAGCAGGTTTTGTATACTGTAGAGATGTGTGGCAATGCCACGATGTATTTTGGCAACACAGTCACCCAGAACTCTCAGTTAGAGTGGCTGAGAGGTTCCAGAATGTGAGTACATTTGCAAGGAAGAAACTGACTTTTCCGTTTCTTCCAAGTCTTCCGAACTGTAGCGGGATGGAATCTCTAGTCCTGGGGCCAGCTGTTGCCAATTACAAAGATAGGAGGATCAGGTGGGCTGAGAGCAGCCTTATTAGGAGTCTGGACCAAAGCTCAGGGGAGTTGTAGGTGTGTAGGAGGCGCACAGCCACAGGCAGATTCTGCTGCGTGCTAGAAGCACATGTGGAATAGCTGGGGGAGGCTGAAAGAGGTCGAGAGGGTCGGTGACACCAAACGGGACCTGTTCCAGAGACTGAAAGACAGAGTCAGTGACCCACGAGGTGTGAGCAGTAGGAGTATCACACGGGTGTGTGCCGAGATGCTTGGAGCTGAGGAAAGCTACTGAGCGATAGTGAGGACTGTATTTGTGAAGAAATAAAGTGAAATCCTGAGACTAAGACATTGGGAGTGTATGGGACAGCCTGATGTCGGGGAGATGAAACTGAAGTGAACTGTTATGTTATGCTGAAGAAAAGTGGGTTATTATGTGAAGTACACGGATCGTTGGCCTTTGTGTGAATAAAAGACTGCCCTTTTATGTGGAAGATGGCTTCAAGAGTGGTCTTTTGGCGCCCACCATTGTGCTCAATTCCCCAAACTACCACAATACTCAGACTTGTATGGGAATGCAAAACCAGTCTGAAGTGAAAAAAGCCCAACACAGGTTCTGCAAAAAATGAATCATGGAGGAGAGAAGAGAAGGTATTAATGTGAAAATTGTTGGCGGAAACAAAATGGTAATGGATCAGATCTGAATCACTGTGTGTGTAAAGTAGCCACTGCCCCAAGCTTGCTTCTGTGATGGACTAAAACTTATTTACAAATTGAAATGTGAGATGGAAGTAGTCTATTACGGGAGTGAGCTTGGAGTGGTGGCTACTTTACAACACACACAGGGACCACGGGGAACAAAAGTAGCCACCCTCCATAAGGAAGGACAGTGACAGCACCAATTCAGAGATGATTTAAGGCTCTAATGCCGAGCGATACACAAATAAGATACATTTTAATAGTTAACGTCCTTGAATACATTTTTAAGATTTAACTTTATGTCCCTATTATTGGACTCCTACAATGTTCCATCCACATGTACTCCATGTAAAGAGAGATTATTACATTGAGTTCCACAATGCTGCAAACATTTGCCACAAACTGATCCTTTAAGATAAGGGCAGAGCCAACGGTGTGGGCTCATACCCAAGTCATGTCTATGGTCACCTTTACTACATACATAACCGATACTAGAGATCCGCCAAAACAAAGTAAAACAGGTGAAGTCTTCATATGAGGAATGTTTACAGCAAGTTGTAAGTCGTAACCTAAGCTTTCAAAGCTTATTGTTCATTATGTGTCCACTCGTTATCCTTGTTTAAACAATGATTGTAGGTCTCCACTGTTCTCTTCTCATGTACCAAATCGAACACACAACAATCCAGTACCAGCCTGGACTTCAATGGGATAGTTGAGTTGAGCCACAAGGTAGGAGGTCATAAGACAAGCCTCAGCTTGCCTTGTTCTTGTACAATGTCATAGCAGCCAAATCGCCCTCTGTAATCTGCTTTGCTATTCTACAAACAAGGATAGGAGTGATTTTATCCCAATGTAAACAATGAGCTTCACTGAAAAACAAAGCTCTGGCACGAACGGTGCGCTGTAAATAACTAATTTCCAGCTCGGGGTCTGAAACAGGAAACCCATTTAGGGGTTAGCATTATGCTAAATGAAAGAATGGAGCAAAACAAACTTATATGATTGTTTTACTATCAGAGAAGTGTCTGCATTTTCTGTCTACGTGAACAAAAAGGATTTTTGTTAAAGTAATAATTACTCATTTAAAAGTAGTAACACTGTAGCACAGCACTACAACCGCACTAGAGTAGAATGCCCAAAAAAAAACAAATTAGAACCAGAAGTGCTGGATCACTATAATATAATTGTTATAGTATAATTGTTACTAGGGAAGCACGGATAACGGTATCAGTGCCCATACTGGGCATTTTCACGAGTACTCAAGAAAATGTCCAGATACTAAGCGCCAATACAGGCACTTGAAATGTTTAAATTGCAGGCGCTGCTGTAAAACAGGCACCGTTGTTTACAGGAAGACTGCTGAGGTTCCCAGCAGCCTTCCTACGAATGGGGGCGCCTGTTTACACCAGTCTCTGCACCAGCTACCTGAAAGCTGCACAGCCTACAATCAATCCCACACAACCACCTGAGAGCCGCACAGCCCACCATAGAACCTGCACAGCCACCTGAGAGCCGCACACCCCACCATAGAACCTGCACAGCCACCTGAGAGCCCTGCACAGCACACCATATACCCTGCACAGTCTACCTGAGATTCTGCACAGTCCACCTGAGAGTCTGCACAGCCCACCATAGACCTAGCACAGTCCCCCTGATAACCCACACAGCCCACCATAGAACCTGCACAGTCCACCTGATAACCCGCACAGCCACCGGAGTCCGCACAGCCCACCAAAGAAACTGCATAGCCACCTGGGAGCCTGCGCAGCCCACCATAGACTCTGCACAGTCCACCTGAGAGTCTGCACACCTCAGCATAGACCCCCACACAGCATTTGGAAGTCATGCATCTGGCTGTCAGAGTCTTGTAATGCCTCATGGGCTAGAGTGCCAATATTGCCTATCCCTGCTCTATGTACATGGGAATTAGAAGCATGAAGACATGAAAAAGCTGTATTTACAGAAAGGATATAAAATGGACTATAAACAGATAACAAGGTTTTTTGATCTGAAAAAAGACTTACAATATAGTTTAGCAAAATACTGAGATCTTATCTGAACACAGTACAAAGATGTACCTTGCAGCGAGAAAGATGTACAGTATTTTTCCAGTGGCTGCATTCAATAAATGTGTTTCAACTATGTAAATAATATGAACAAGGGACTTACCACTTCCTGAGATGCATATTTTGGATCATCAGGATCTACAGAGAAATAGCAGTAATCGAAGCCAAATTCCATGTGCCGCTCTCTGGTGTCCCCGCAGCCATCTGCTCTATAATCCAGCTGAGAAAAGCAATACATACAATGAGACATAGAAAAATCAAATCTATTTTTACATAAGTACAAGTGATCAACTTGGAACATCCACTTTACAGGTATATCATATGGATGCCATCACTTGCATATAAAGTGCAATCTAATAATAACAGGCGAGTCAATTGGTCACTACAAGCAGTCTTTTACCCCTCATTTATTGAATTTGACCTAATCTCTCATTTCACTACACTGGTGGAAACACAAAGAGCCCCTTCTCTGCAGGCCTGGTTTCACAACGTAGACCAGATATGTGCTCTGCAGGAATTGACCAACAGTGGTAACAATACACATGACCTCTTTAGTAAAATCTGGACCTGTTGGCTCGTCTACAAAACGACTGCATCATATTTATTTGTAATGACCTCACCTACAGTATATGAGTCTTTCTGACTTTACTGCAAATTTTATCCCCTCTTTTATTATCTTTAATCCAATTAATTGTTTTATTGTCGTGGAATGTTCCTACTGTTTGTGGGCATTAGTCATCAGTATCGGGGCTTAGCTTTAGGTCTACTGTTCCTGTTTTCTTTTTGGTTCTATGCTTCTTTGTCCATGCTCTTATTCTTTCCTACTTTCATAAAAGTTTGACTGTCTTCGAGTGACATGATATTATATGCTATATATCTATATATCTTGATCTGTAAACAGCCACTGCAATTTGTATTCTAATGTTCGCAGTGTTAGACAGGGTATGTATGCTTAAAGGAAGATGGTAACGCTTTGCCGTAAATTTTTCTTTTGTTGATTTGTTTTTTCCTGAAAACTCCAATACAAATGTATCAACAAAAATCGATTTTAAAATATAAATCAATACACAGTCAGTGTTGTACATGGTGATTTCTCCTTTATAATTTATTATTTACATTTGACCACAACACCCATTTTCATCAACCATTTCCCCAGTGTCGTAATGATTAACAATCTTAGGTTATGGTCATTATTCATGTTTAAAGCCCAACTCCAGACACAACGAACTTACTAATGTTAAAGCAGTTACAGACTCTGCTTACTCAAAAGCCACCACCAGAAATTAACATTTTTTAAATCCTGCATATGTTAGAATACACATTAGTGTGTTTATAGCAATAACTCCTGCAGTATACAATTTTGGTCACTAGATGGCAGTGTTTTTAAGTTCTGTTATACAGTATCTATGGTATCATACTCTATTGTATTGAATAAGGTAGAGAATAAAGCTGTGGCTTCATTCCTGTTTTCAAGCCACGTGCAGCATGCATATCAAACTGTGTGCTTGTGTTTCTCTGTGAGGCTGTTGAAGAAGTTCCAACAGCATATCTTCTTGTTTACATGCAGGTGGAACTACAGCTCCTGCTGTACCTCTGTGCCCACTTGGATGTAAGCTCCAACTTGGATAAAAAGAATGTGTTCCATCATAGAGCTGGAGTTTGCCCAACCCTGGTTTAGACAGTCCTTAGGACTACATGGGCACTTATGGTGCCTGCTATTTAATGACCATCCTAGTCCTTTTAAAAGATTTCCTGAGCACAAATTCACTGTAAAGCTAGTCATACATGCTTAGATTTTGCTTATGCAGCCCTGTAGGGAAAAATTAGAAAAATCAGTCAATTCCCAATCCACGCAAAACAGCATGGATGGCAAAATCTCCTCTGCCGGCTATTATATTTAGACAGCTATCTGAATACCTGAACAGTGACTGCATCTGAATGGATGCAGTTGCTGTTCAGTCGACAATTTTCCACTCTGTTCCTTTTTCAGTTGAAGTTTCTTGAGTTGGTGCTGCCAACAGGGTCACCCATGGCTAGACTTTCATCCAATTCAGCAGGAGCTGGCCGTAATTCAAGTCATGTATGGTTCCCTTCATGGGAACAATAGTCCACTGGCTGAACAATCGAAGCCAGCTGAACGAGCTGCTTTTGGAAAACTGTATTCTGCACCTGAATTCTTTTCCAGCACTTGCTGAGTTACAGTTGCTTAATATATTAAATCTTATACAGATGTTTCCATTACACAGCTGCTTTGTTCTCTTTATTATTTCAATATGACTACAGCAGGCTTTGAAGGCCTTCTCTCGCTATAGCTGTGACTTACCACCCCGGTATATAATTTCATCTCTTTATACTAAGCATGTGAAAACCTCACACAAATGAACAGCCACAGCCTGAAACATCATCATAGCAATACAATGACCTGCTGTAACCAGAGAACACGTGTTCCCATATGACCATTCTATATGACCAGGATCTACTTCCATTATATTGCATTGCTCATTTTCAAGTGTTACTGCAAAGGAAAGTGAAGGTGCTGTTCATACAATCCAAACTGCAGCTGTCATTCTGTAGAGTAGGTGAGAACATGAATTTATAGGCTGTTTTAATCTAGATTTGTAAAACAAATGTCCTATTGTAGCATGGGAATTTAAAGCAGATTTCTTCTAGATTTGGACAGAATGAAATACGGGTTAATACTTTTGTTGTGTTTTTGTTGATGTTGGCACCCTGATCAGAGAAAGTTCTCTACTACCTGCCCCAGAGATCTGATAGAAACTGAGTAGATATCTTCTCAGTATGATGGGAAATCCCATCTTTGATAACTGTATTCATAAATTATGTCTCCACTGAAAAGTATCCCCTCTACCCCTATGCCAGTGACCATAAAATGTTGGATTTCCCCTAACTTTCTGTTACGATAACAATGGCCAGTAGGATAAATAGTGAGGTTGCATCTCCACAATGGAGGACAGTGGAGGACACCTGGCAGAGGTTCCATTACCTCCGCAATCCAAAACTAGAAACTTTTTTTGCCTAAAGTATATTTCCACTTCTGCAGCCAAATTGGGATAACAGCTACTTTATATTTGTTACATGTTCCAATTCACATAGCAGAACTAAAACATTTTTTAAAATTGCTGCTTGCACAATACATGCTCCATGATGAAAGAAATGTTGTTCTCTGTACTGAATTTTGCCTTGAAATGCAAGGGAGAGGGGGCTGGGCAGGTTAATGTTGGCATAATTAACCTTGTCTGTACTGTGCTGGCAGATCTCATTCGGTTGTAAACTAGATGTTAACACTGTCTGTCCTAACAAAGGGTTAAAGATCTGAAACAGGGGTAGGCAACCTCCACACTCCAGCTGTTGTGGAACAACAATGAGACATTGCAAGACTCCGACAGCCAACGGCATGACTTCCAGAGACAGATGCATGAAGGAATTTGTAGTTTCAGTGTAGTTGTAGAACAGAGGTTGCTTACCCTTTATCTAGAAGCATTCTATCTTACTGAGGGGAAGGTCTGTATGTCCCTAGTCTTTCTATGGGGATGAACACAACAAACATACAGTGGGGTTTTCTCAAATTTGAATGCAAAAGTGGAAATACACTTTCAATTCTACTTTAAATCTGAAATTTTTTTTAAGCAGGGCACACATGGGTAGATTTTTTAGTGAATTTTTATATGAAAAATACAGTCCCAACGTTGTACAGGTATCAAAAACTTTCCGATTGTCGTTTGAAATTTCGCTTAATTTTCGCTTTTATTTAACATTCTATTTTGGAACAAATGGAGTTTCCAAAAGAAAACCACATTGACTGTTAGAAATTCGTTTGAGAAAAATTTTCCAACATACTGCTTTTGACAATTTTCAGGAAAATTGACGGTTTCATCTGTCGATTGCACCATACTAATGGATATTCGAAAACGTATTTCGTACAAAATTCTAACCGTGTATACCCTACTTTAGGCTTTACAGATAAATGGTTTTTCGGGGTATGGGTATTCCTATCTTAAGAATACAGCGTGGTGTATGTGTGTGTGTGCATTGCTAGGCCTTAAGGAGATTCAGCATATTTATGGTTCAAAGTAGAGCAAAGTTGGTCTGACACAACAGGTTCTATTTGTGAAGAATTCTATTGATAGAAAATAGTTTTCACCTGATATGTACAGCCAATGTTCAATGTTCAACACGTATGCCTAGCTGTAAGGAAAGTTCAGTTCATTCAAGCACCATAAAACCAGTGCAGGCCTGAGCACATGCACCTACTGTGGCTCATGGCCCTGTGCATAGGATCCCAGACTGATGTGCATTAGTGTGCAGGTGCGCATGCGCTAAACAATGTGTACGTTGATGTGCATGCATGCTCAGCGCTAAACCACCTGTATAAACTGGAGTGAGGCATGGACAGATTGTGGAGTGGTCTTCAACTAGTCCTTAATACTCGCAAGCCAACCTGCTGTTCTGATCTCATGCGTTTGACCCTGTTTCCCCCTTCGACCGATTTCTGGATATTGTCTACTCGTTGTGCTTTCTGCCTGCTGATTTTGGACCCGATTGTCTGGTTATTACTGACCCACAGCTCTCATCTCAGTGTCCCTGCAACTTTTAGACACAGGCAGATCAGAGGAATGCATGGGGAGGGGGTACCCACTCACAGGAATCAGTACAGGCACTAGAAATGGAAGTGACAGTGAGAGAAGAGCTGTCAATCAAGAAGCCATATTCTTTTCAGAGCATCATTGGCAATGAAGAAGAGTGAGCTGTCAAAGTCTATATCTCAGTTTGTACTCCACACAAAAGCAAGGGATAAAAAGCAACATACACTGTAGGAGTTAGGTGACTGAGCTGTGAAAAATAATACAAGGTGAGACTTATTGTTTAAAACTACGTGTTCATCAATACATCGTTAAAGCTAATAATAAATACAGGTGAAACTCGAATAATTAGAATATCGTGCAAAAGTAATTGCAGTAAGTGCTGCAAAAGGGGCCCAAACCAAGTACTGAGTACATATGCATGCTTGTACTTTTCAGAGGTCCGATATTGTTCTATGTACAATCCTTGTTTTATTGATTGCATGTAATAATCTACTTTTTTGAGGTTGTGGATTTGAGGTTCTCATGAGCTGTAAGCCATAATCATCACAATTATGACAAATCACGGCTTGAATTATCTTGCTTTGCATGTAATGAGTCTCTCTCATATATTAGTTTC